CAAAAAAAAAGGCGACGACACTTACTAGACCCTTCGTTCTCTTTGCTAGATCGAAAATGCTTTGCTTTCGGATGCTACCTGTTGCTCCTACTGACAAAATATAAAAAATAAGAAATGTTTCCTTCCCTCGTGACGTCCGTTTTTCAGAGAGTTTTTTTATCTTATAAATTATGACAATAAAAACAATTTTCAAACTAGGATGATGAAGAAAAAATGTCAATTACCGGGCAGAAACTTTAACGGATTCGGACAACGTTTCTCGCTTGTTTCACAATAATTTTAATCATATATGAATACTACAACAAATCATGACTCATCATGGAAACATCACTACAAATAATTATAACATTAACATCTGCTACTACTCGTTTAAAGAACATTTAGTTCGATCACTTCCTCGGCAAAGTAGCTTACCCGCAAGACATATCCATGTAAAACAAAACTGTTCAATTCATCTGCCACTCACTAACACAGGTTAAAATTATTCCAAAACAATTACGGGTGTAATCTGTCTACTCTTAATTTTATTCTCGATAAGGTAGTATATTTGCGTCATATTGTGAATTAGGTTAATATTTTAATATTTTCCGTCAAATCACAATTTTAATAAGATAATAAAATATAAAATATTTAAAATATCATTCATTCGATGCGGAACGTGAAATGGTATTTTAAATATTTTATATTTTATTATCTTATTAAAATTGTGATTTGACGGAAAATATTAAAATATTTATTCTCGATGTCACAGTGTTCAAGCGTCGACGGCGGTGACTCTGGTGGGGTTTGGCGGAGTACGCTTTTGGCGTGAATCTACAGTGAAGTGGTCGGTTTTGTGTTGGTGCATTTGGCAGAAATCTGGCTTCAGGACTTTCGACACAATTTTCAAAAAAAAAATAGTATCGCAATAAATGTGTTAGTTTTCAACACAAAAAGGTACATTCCCGTGAACTTTAACGGGTCATACAAACTAGGAAGTATGTGTACACACACACACAGAGAGAGCAGACAACGTCCCTTTCGATTCTCCTATTAATCTGAGTTGGGAATTTTCAATTACAAGAATTTAAATAACGAACCTCCTTATTACACGGTCACAGAGGCGCTTGTCCAAACATTGTCTCGCCTGTCCAAACTTTCTCCACGGTGAAATTACTTTCACAGAAAAGAGGATAAGAACTCTATTCTACTTCCACTCACTTGTCAGAGGAATGAAGCTGATTTATACACTGTTTATTTATGCGATATTTTAACAAATTATAAGCCCGCTACTTCTTCAGATATTTCTGCGCTGTGCCAAATTCTGTAAGACTTCGTCAAATATAAAGATAACCGTCTTCTGGGATGTTGAGAGCAAATATGAAGATAACCGTCTTCTGGGATGTTGAGACGTTTCAGAGGTTATTGCTGCCTCCATTATGAGGGAGATGATAAAAGCAGAAAGCACCTCTGAAACGTCCGTAAATATCTACCAGACTACACAGCGCAACAACCCAGAAGATGGAAATCTTCATACTCTGATGACGGAGGCAGTATGACCTCTGAAACGTTGGTAAACATCGACCAGACTACACAGCGCAACAACCCAGAAGATGGAAATCTTCATACTCTGATGACGGAGGCAGTATGACCTCTGAAACGTTGGTAAACATCGACCAGACTACACAGCGCAACAACCCAGAAGATGGAAATCTTCATACTCTGATGACGGAGGCAGTATGACCTCTGAAACGTTGGTAAACATCGACCAGACTACACAGCGCAACAACCCAGAAGATGGAAATCTTCATACTCTGATGACGGAGGCAGTATGACCTCTGAAACGTTGGTAAACATCGACCAGACTACACAGCGCAACAACCCAGAAGATGGAAATCTTCATACTCTGATGACGGAGGCAGTATGACCTCTGAAACGTTGGTAAACATCGACCAGACTACACAGCGCAACAACCCAGAAGACGGATATCTTCATACTCACCGCTGTGAGAACCTCAAGTCTTACATAGCATTAGAATTGTCTACAAGGAATTGCGATTGTGTAATCTGTGAAGATGCAAATGTTCTGAAGAGTCCTTGATTATACGGCATGGAAAATATTTATACCTTCGCATTCATACCATTAAAATGGTTTTACCTGACTGACTCCATGTCTGCACAAATGTATCTTCAGTAATAAAGATGACAGGCTAAGTGGCTAGGAGAAGTGTTCGATCTTCTTGTAAGAGTAAACAAACTTTTTGTTACGGGTAAATAAAGTTTTTATCCGGAAAGATACGGATCTGACAAAGAGACGCAGAGAGTCGAAAAAGTCGTGTGTAACATCTTTATGGAAGACCCGAAACTTCTATCACCTCGCAGCTCCAAATCCCGTTATGTCCCAGCGAAAGATACACCGGTTCCTTTTTTGCGCTAATAAAACTGAACCACTAAGGCATGCTCGTATTTAATGAATGATTTGCGAAGGTAGTCGTTTGTTTAAAAGGAAATGTCCCAACTTTCTCTAAAAAAAGAATGAGATTTGCTGTGATAGACTGTAAGGAAAATCGGATTGAAACTGTACCGAACCGTATAAAAAGAAATTGAAATTAAGAAGCTCTGACTTTAATAAGAGCATTAGTTAGGTCCACAGATATATTTCTATGTGGTTTGATCTGTTTTCACAGCCTGAAAACATTAATTTAACAAACTAAGAAGAAAAATGATTACAAAATAATAATAATAATTCAATTCAATTCAAAATAATGATGATGATGATGACAAAGGTAAACTAGTATATTTTCTGGTTCTCACGGCGACGAGTATGAATGAGTCTGTCTTCTGGGTTGTTTCGCCATGTAGTCTGGTAGACGTTTTCCGACGTTTCAGAACACATCAAATCTAAAACTTCTTGACGATGGTGAAGAGTCAATTGAATAAAAATTTACTTGGATATTATCCATCGTCTAGTAATAAAACGTAAAAAACGTAAAACGACGTTTCGGAGATGGGGCTCTATCTCCGTCTTCAGGTTCCTACTCAGTTGGGCCCACTAGATAGAGCTAATCCCTATCTCCGGAGATAGGGATTAGGCCCTACTGAGTAGGAACCTGAAGACGGAGATAGAGTCCCATCTCCGAAACGTCGTTTTACGTTTTTTACGTTTTATTACTAGACGATGGATAATATCCAAGTAAATTTTTATTCAGTTTCAGAACACACCCGAAACGTCGGTAAACTTGTACCGGACTGCAAGGGTTTAAATCTCGAGCCTGGCTATCATAACTTAGGTTTCTATGTGTTTCCTCAGTCCCTCCCGGGTACTATCTTAAATTATGCCATGACCCCTTCCTTCCACATCCCTTCCGATTCATTATTCACTCATCACCCCATCAGTTGATGGAAAATAACCTGAGCTATTGACGGGGAAAAGATGTCATACCGAACTAACTAAGCCCTAATGAGTGGGACTCTTTCTTTTCTGTTGCAGGAGCCTTTCTGATCCCTTACTGCATCATGCTGGTGTTTGGCGGGTTGCCGCTCTTCTACATGGAGCTCGCACTGGGGCAATTTCACAGGTGTGGGTGCCTGACCATCTGGAAACACATATGTCCGGCGCTCAAAGGTAAAAAAAAAAAAGCTCATTTCGAATTTGGACCTGCTGTATGTGAGTTAAGCTTAGTTCCATCGGACTAGAACGCACCTTTCATCCCCTGCTGGTAGCTACAGAAACATCATTTGCAATTTCCATCTTATTTATTGAAACCGTCAACCGAATTCAGAAGGCTGTATTCCGGCTTTATATGCCGTTTAGCCTGAGTTTATGGATATGTCAGAGGCCCTTACTGCCTCCACAATCGCCCTGATGATGGCGGCAGTAAGCACCTCCGAAACATCGGCAAACTTCACCAGACTATATGACGCAACTACCCAGAGGACAGCCATATTATTTCACTTAGGGCTGCGTCCTAACTATATCCTTCGCAATGGAAAAGATTAAGAGCTACAAATGAGACAAATAAAACCGCGGATATGCGGAAACGCGGATAACGAAAGTGTGTCGACGGTGTAAATCAATGTAATAGAAGAGACGTCTTTAAACAAACCAATTTCCAACCAAAAATTCATCAATAATTTTTAAAAAAAAATGTAACTTTACTCACAATATAAACTATGGGGGTGCACTTTCATGAGAAAGTTTTGTATTTTACTTTGTCGTACGACCGCCATTAATGGAAAATCGACATCGACCCACGAACTATTTTTACATCACACAGCGATACAGTAATTGTCTGGACTGAGGCAACAAAGTGGGAGGAATTATGAGGTCTGCCTTTCAACATGAAATGCATTTCACTTTTATATTAGGCCCACTGTGGTAGCGTGACCCCCTCCCCCCTACCACCACCCCCACAATGCTGGACTTAATATCGGATGAAGGAAACACGTTAGCCACACAGATGTAGCCAAGTTGAAAGTAAAAAAAATTGGTTTCAAGGTCACAAGCTGCCACAAGAACATACTTTTTGAAAAATCTGAAGGAGACAGGTAAAATTGGAGAATAATATTAAAATGGATCTCAAGTAAATTGTAATGATATGGACTGGATTCGTCTGTCTGGTGACAGGGACCAGTAACGGGCTTTTGCGAACACGGTAATGAACCTTCGGATTTCAGAAAAGGCTAGAGTTTTGACCAAATGAACGACTACAAGCTTCTCTAGAAGAACTGCCGCCTTATGTAAGATTCTGGGACTTAAATTATATGCATAATCTTTCAGAATTTAAAATAAAGGATTTGATTGAAATTTGAACACCGAACTCAGATTGAATTCTTCATTTAAATTTCCACAAATATCTAAGTACCTAAAAATTTCCGTATCGAGGGATCTGACACTCTAAATTGCGTTTCTCGTTATTTTGCCTAGCCACTTCAAGGACATTCCAGTATAAACCTTAAAATAGACGCCAACAGCTTCTGAGACACAATCACTGAATCATACGACGCTATATTATCTGAAGGGCTGATTAAACAATATCACTTTAGCCCTGAAGATGGAGGCACCATATTCCTCCGAAACACTGGCACACAAACATGAATCTATTGGGCTCAACAACGCAGAAAAGGACCGTCTTCGACCCCCGCAGTGCCTGAAAGCTTCTAACGTTTCAGACTTCCCCAAAATCTGGGCGTCACAGTCTCCTACTAACAGCACTTGCATTAGGACGGACTTTTCATATTCTGTCCCGGCCTGTTGGTGCCGTGACATGATTGATAGGCTTGGCGCACGGTAGACTAAATATATACCAGTCTGTTAACAACGCCTTGCGACGACATAACAATATCACATAATACGCGCTGAATAAAACCAGACTTAAAAATAAACCAGAACAAAAACTAACTCAATGGGGCAGAGTCCTTCTTGAGAAGCTGAGAGTCACGCACGTAGTCACGAATTTCCCTGCCTTTTATAGAACTCGAAAGTTCATTACCGTTCACAAGTCCGCCACCACCCTGAGCCAGATAAATCCAATCCACATCCCTCAAACCTATTTCCCTATCAACCTTTTTAATATTATCATCTCATCTACGCCCATCCAGACCTCCTACTCAATGGGTACCGGGGGGTCTTTTCCCCGGGGGTAAAGGGCGGATGGGGCGTGACTCTGACCACTTAACCCCACGAAGTGCCGAGGTCAAGAGCAAGTAGGAGATATACAACCTCCTCCCCCCCCCACGCGCCTCCGTGGCGTGTAGTGGGACAACTTTACTTTTACAAATTTCATGACTCAGCCACACAGAGCGTGGGCGTAATTTATTCCCATTGAAGCTATTTCATACCTCACATTTTTTAATACGTATTATGCACACAGAATGCGATGTTCGAAATTTCAAATTGTTTTTGTTATGATAACTATACAATATTCGACTCTGAGCATAAGATATCTCGTCTGCTAAGATTTGAAAATTTAAATTTATTTATAAGTGTACTTTAGCCATGTTACCCCATTTTATTTTTTAGAGGAAAACGTGTCCATTACAACATGACTTATAATAATGAATTGTATGATTAATATATATTTATATATTAAATCTTGTCCGTCTAATCACAATAAATTCTTATTAAATATTAAAATATTACAATAATTAACATTTAAAATATTTAAAATATCAAATGATGTTCTTTATCGAAATATTCGATTTACATTAGACCATCATTTATCGAATAGATTAAGTTTTACATTGTTATTTAATAGTGAATACAAACAGGCGATATTTTAATTTTAATTTCAAAATAAAATAGGTCACATAGCTGACATAAGGCAAAAGATTAAATAGATGCTAAACGCGCTGAAGACGACTTTCAAATTATTTCATGTCTAAGCACAATGCGGTTCTAAATTCAACACCACGCGATCTAATGAGAAGTGAAAATAATTAATGGCGGTGGTTTAAATGCTGTTTCATATCTCTTCCATTACCTTTATTGTATTTAACAAATTCTATAACTTCATCTTCCCTTCCTATTCATATCACGTGACACAAAGAACAGGGAAGTAAACGCAGGATTAGACAATTACATTGGTAGCAAGCTCGTGCAAAACGCACATGGGCCTTAAGACCACCTAAACCCCAATGGTAACTATAACTACCACTTGATTTAATAATAAATAATCCTATATTCCGACCACAGAGTGTATGGGTTTCATATGATTCTAATTATAAACAGCGATTATTTCCTTAAACAGCGTTAACCAGTTGATCTTTGTAATGGTGAAGTGTAGTGTTTTCTTCGCGGTACGGACTGAATTCTTAAATATTATTTAGATACCTGGGTTTCGTGCGATTCTCAATGTAAACAGCGATTATCTCCTTAAACAGCGTTAACCAGTTGATCTTTGTAATGGTGAAGTGTTGTGTTTTCTTCGCGGTACGGACTGAATCCTTAAATAATATTTACACGAGCTTCGGCTTCAAAGGATTTACGTTCTGTATCATAATATGGCTTCGAGTATGTTTCTGTATAAATGTAGATTTCCTGCATTTAAATATGCAAAAATTAAGACGACAATTAACGGGCAGACCTACTCGTAGATAAAATGATAATATTAAAGTGCACAGACGTTGTGATAATGTGGAGTGTATTCATATAACTCGGGACAGGGACACGTGGCGAGTTCTTGTGAATAAGGTAATGAACCTTCTGTTTCCGGAAAAAGCGATGGATTTGATAATAGTTGAGCGATTATTTTCTTCTCGAGAAGTGTCTCTGCACCATGCAGTCAGTTAACACATCGGTGTAGCCGAATTATGCCCAGTGCAAGCTAATAAACGACTGAGTGAGACTTTTAATATTTTCCTCAGTTTCTCCCAGCTGCTTCCGAGATAGTACAATGAAACAGGTATGATTGCTTAAAGTCATATCCTTGCTTATTCAACAGTCATTGTAGTATTTAAACCCAATTTCATACCACGTAATCCCAACAGCTGAAACAGCATCATGTAACAGCATAAGATAATCATTTTACTACACCCACGTCTTAAACGCCTGAGACTGAAAATTGAAAGGTTTGGGGCAAGGAACCGGATAGTTGGTTATAAGATAGTGTGCTGGTGTTTAACTGCGTATCATAACACAGATACGTCTGTATGAACGTAAGACGTAACTGATGTTTTTATTAAGTATATTTATCACTTTCACTCGGCTCACCCATTTCTACAGCCTTTTATCTAAACCTCGAGTTCGAGATGAACGGCTGGCAGTAGAGATACGAATTTAATTCGTTCCTCTACTGGATATTGTATATTAATAGGCATAATAACAATTTAATCAAGTTTCAAAACTTTCTTGAATGATAGGAAGAGAGAAACCGTCATCTGTTGGACGAACTTGAAACTACGAAGCTAATTACTGGCCAAAGTAACTGAAAGGCAGGCGACGTCAGGTACAGGAAAGGCAAAAAGTTTGCAGACATAAAAGTGAGTAATTCAATCTAAATAGAGTACGAGCAAATTGTGTTTAACAGGACATCCACCGAGATTATAACACCAGCACCAAAACTAACCCAAGTCCCACATGTTTAATGAGTTACTACGAAATTAATTTCAGCCGACTGCAAATGATATTCACGTTTCATGAGATTTCAACTTCTCACGGCGGTCAAAAAGCCCATGTTTATATTACGGGTTATGGCGCCGTGGACTTGTAGATAGATGCCAGCGTTTCGGAGGGACATACTTCCTCCATCTTCAGGGCTAAACATGCATACCTATAAGTTCACACGGCTCTAAAACCTAGAAGAATGACATCGACAGTTTCAATGTGTATTTTTTTTTTGGAAAATAGCCTACAACCAAACAATATTATTTTCAAAAGCGGGAAAAATATTTATTACAGAAGAAATGTGGGTTAAAACGTGGTGTAACACATTATTTAGACTTGGCTTCCTGGGTAAACACAGCCAAGAATGGTCAAAACTAAAACCAACAAGTAAATTCTAACAAATAATAGTATTGCATCCAACAAATGTATTTTTCTTTCTATCACAAGAATATATATATATATATATATATATATATACTCAAATTTAGACCACCAATTCAAAAAACCTATAAAGGATCGCC